GGTGGCCAGGAGGAGACTTGCAGAATGTGCCCTTTGGAGATGTAAATTATTATATATGCCTGAGTGGGTTTTTTTTGTTTGTTTGTTTTTTAAAAAGCTAAACTGGATAGAGAGAAATACTTTTAACTGATGGTATATGAAGGGGATTATAATCAATGTAATGAAACAAGTTATATGAATTGTTGAATGTGAAATGGATGATATGCCCTGTAAACTTTCACTCAATTCACAATAAAAACCTTAAATTAAAGAAGAAAAAAAAAGGAATATATAACATTTTGTTTTAGGTTACCTGTCATCATTTTTTAAATTATATTTTGAGAATGAATTAAGTCAAAAACTGAAAATTTTTTATGTGTGTACTTGATAAATTAAAACTTTAAATTTTAATTTGAATACAAATAAGTAGATTGCAAATGAAATTAAATGTAATTTAAAATCCAACAGATGTTATATTTTCTGGAAAAATAAAACAATCTTTAAATATATGCAATTTTACATTATAAGAAAAAAAAATAAGTTGTAAAGTTTTCATCTGGCAGGGGTAATTTCTGAGGCTGTAAATCCTGGCAGGGCAGCAAGCTTCTTCTTTCTTCCCAAGCAGCTGGTGGACTCGAACTGCCAACCTTGTGGCTGGCAGTCCAGCACTTATCCTACAGAGCCAATTTTGTTATTGTTATGTGTTGTCAAGTGGGTTCTGGCTCAGTGACCTTATATAGGATTTCTGAGGAGTAGTTGGTGAGTTTGAAGCGCTGAGCTTGCAGTTCAATATAATCGTATGGCCAAGAGCTTGTCCTACAGCACAACAACAGAGCCATAGCTCTCCATATATATGGAGTCCTAGTGTGGCCCTATGTGATAAGCATTGGACTGGCAGCCACAAGTTTGGAGGTTCTAATTTCAGAGAAAATTATAAACCTACAGTTCTAAAAACCTCGATAAAACACAAAACCAAAAAAGATGAAGAATTGAAACCATGACAAATTGAAAAAAAAAAAAAATAAATAAATCCAATGATAAAAAGAACAATTGTGAAAGCCACCAGTACAAAAGAAGAAAAGATAGGATAATGGCAAGTTTTGCAGAGAAACAACAAAAAGGTGGATACCTGTTGAAAGTACTGAGTGTTGGAAACTGTCAACCTAGAAATTTACACTTAACCTTAACAATTTGAAGATTTGCAATGGATGTGTATAGCACATTGTTGTTGTTGTTAAATGCTGTCATGCCAGTTCCATCTCATAGCCACTCTGTACCAGGTTATAGAGGAACAGCTGGTGGGTTTGAACAGCTAACCTTGTGGTTTTCAGTCCAGTGTTAATTCTACAGTGTCACTCCAGGAGTCCGTGTATAGCACGTGGTTGTTATGTGCCGTAGAGTCGATTCTGACTCATAGCAACCCTGTATAGGGTTTCCAAGGCTATAAATCTTTTGGGGAGCAGAAGGTCTCATCTTTCTTCCAAGGAATTGCTGGTAAAGTGGGCTCTGACCCATAGCAACCCTGTATAGGGTTTCTGAGGAGCAACTGCTGAGCTTGAACTGCTGACTTTGTAGTTCGAATTGATTTTGCAGCTCAGCATATTCGTGCCACACCTGGACTTTAGAGGGATAAATTCACTGCAAGTGTTCAATGATTGTAATCATTTGCTTATGTACCAAACAGTAGTTTTCAAAATATATCAAATAGACACTGTTGTAACTATAAGGAGAAACAGATATATCCATAATTTAGTTCAAGATTTCAATACCTTTCTCTGAATCATTGATACAGCTCTGAAAAAGACTGTAGAGTATTGGAGCAGCACTCTTAACCATCTTGACCTAATTGATTTTTATAGAACATATCTAACAATGGCATTTTTTCAAGTGCACATAGAACATTTCCCAAGATAGACCATTTTCTGGTCGATAGAATCAATCTCAATAAATTTAAGAGGATCCACGTCATATGATGTATGTTCTCTTATCACAATGAAAATAAATTAGAAATAAAAATAACTGTGGAAAGTCCCCAGGTTTAGGTACTTCACTTCTCTGTTTCTGTTTCCTTATCTGTAAAGTAGGCATGTCACCATACCTACCTTGCACAGTTCTTATCACACAGAATACAATGATATTCATTATTACTGTCTTCTGTTGCTCTGCTCCACTTTCATTTCTAAAACTAAATCCTAAATTTTGCTGAATGTTACAGAATATGAGAATGTCCTGAGAATGTGTAAAGAAAAATATGATACATGATTGATTATAGTGATCACTACAAAATATAAACACAAATATTATACACAGATGTTACTGTGCCGGAGACTTACAGGTTAGGTGTTAGAAGTGATCCATCTTCCCACAGCCAGGATCCGTTTGCGGGACTTCGCAGTAGTCCCATCCAGTGATAGGACTTCACCAATTTAAGGAAATCCTATTTGAAACCACATATAATCCATAGTAAGCTCTCAAAATTTTGGCAAACACAGTTATTTCATTAATTATTTATTTATTAAACAATTACTTGTTTTTTCTTACACTTTGAACAATACTCTATTTCCTAACCAATAAATTACCACTTAGACTGCACATATATCATACATACTATGTCTGTGCTTTCTCACTTTTAATACATAAACATTTGACCTTCAATTAAAATTATCTGTCCATTTTCTATAACATAAACCATATAACCATTAAAAATAAAGAGGGTATAGAAATTTAGTGATGTTTCTTATGATTGCAGGAGATATATACCTATATTTTCAAACCATATATAATAGATTCTTATTCTTTTGGATGGCTACTTTCTATAAAGCAACTATGAACACTGAATCAGTGACTATAAAATGATTCCTCTTAGAGGAAATACAGAGTTATATTCCTGTAAATCTATGGTCACAACATTTTTGTAAATCAACCAATACAAAAACCTCATTTCGTATGTGTTTATGTAGGCACTGAACTGTAAACCACAAGGTCCGTGGTTCAAACCCACCAGCTGATCCTCAGAAACACAGTACAGGATCACTGTGAATCAGAATCAACTCCACAGCACTTAAGAACAAGAACAAGAAAAATGCTTAAAGAGCAGATCTGTCTTTAAAAAGTAGTCAGAGTGCTCCTTAGAAGTGAGGCTGTTGAGAGATGTTATCAGGAGTGACCAACCCCTAGAGAAGGACATCATAGTTAGTAAAGTAGAAGGTCTATGAAACATAGGAAGACTCTCATTGAAATGGATTGGCACAGTGGCGGCAACAATGGGCTCAAATTTAGGGATAATTATGAGAATGACACAAACTAGGAAATGTATCATTGTGTTATAAATAAAGTCATCATGCATCTGAACCAATTCTATGGCACCTAAAAACAATTTGTTTAAAGACATCTTACTTAATACTTTATATATGTATATATATATATTGTTGTTATTAAGTGCCGTTGAGTCGTTTTCGACCCATAGTGACCCTATATAGGGTTTCCAAGGAGCAGCTGGTGAGCTTGAACCACCGACCTTGCAGTTCAAATGACTTTTCAGTCTGACGCATTAGCCCACAGCGCCACACCATATATGTTGTTTATTCATTAGCATTGTATTCACGGTTAACATCATTGCAATGCATTCTTGAATGAAGCTTGTCTGTTATTCTTGTAGTTACACTTAAGAATGCTTAAGCACTTCATCAGTACTTCAACACTTCTTTTGGGGACACTTTCAAATAGCAAAATCACTAACAAAAAGAACTAGATGTGACACCAAACAGACCACAAAAGGACAATTGTTTGCAGTATGAGAGCTGATATAAGAAAACAGAGCTTGACTTTTTCAGTCTCAGTCGGGAACAGGCACAACTGGTAACTCAAGTTTTTGCCACTCTATAAATGTAAACGAATGATTGTGAAAGCATCCTAAGTATTCATTTGGTGTTATAAATAAATTTTCATAACTAGTCAAGTGAGCAAATGAAGAATCTGTGAAAAATGATTGACTTTACTCTCTTCCTCCCAAGAGGATGTGGGACCAAATGATAACATATTGTCATTAAGTCCTGGTGAATCATTTCTGACTGATTTGTTCTTGCTGTTGTTAGGTGCCATTGAGTAGGTACTGACTCAGAGCGACCTTATACACAACAGAATGAAACTCTGCCTGGTCCTGGGCCAACCTCACAATTGTTGCCACGCTTGAGCCCATTGATGCTGCCACATTGCCAATCTATCTTGCTGGGGGGGGTCTTCCTTTTTCTCTTACCCTCCACCTTACCAAACATGATATCCTTCTCCAGTGACTGGTCCCTCCTGACAATATGTCCTAAGTATGAAAGACGAAGTCTGGCCATCCTGGCCTCCAAGGAGCATTCTGCCTATACTTCTTCCAACACAGATCTGTTTATTCTTTTGGCAGCCCATGGTGTTTTTAATACTCTCTTCCAGTACCATAACTTAAGTGCTTCAGTTCTGTTATGGTCTTCCTTATTTACTATCCAACTTTCGCATGCATATGAGGTTATTGAAAATACCATGACTTGGGTCAGGCACACCTTAAAGAAGTCTTGTGCAGCAGATTTGTCTTGTGCAATATGTCGTTTGATTTCTTGACTGCTACTTCTGTGAGTACTGATAGTTGATCCAAGAAAAATGAAATCATTCTGACTGATGTTTTTGTTAGGTGCTGTTGAGTCGATTCTGACACATAGCAACTCTGCATAGAGTTTCCAAGGAGCAGCTGGTGAGCTTGAATCAGCAAACTTACAATTCAAACAACTTGACTTTGCAGTCTGACACATTAGTCCACGGCACCACACCAGGACTGACAGGGATCCTGGAAAGTGTTTCCAAACACTGGCTGGTGGGTTTGAACCCTGTTGCTAGCAGTTGAGTACTTATCCTACAGCATCACACCAGCACTCTGTACTGATTGCAGGATAATGCTCTGGACCACAAGGTCAGTTTGAAATGCAAGGTTGGCATTTCAAACCCACCAGCCGATCCTCAGAAGCCCTATATAGGGTCGCTATGTGTTCGGACCAACTCGACGACACTTGACGACAACAACAAAAACAAAATCGTTATTATATTTTCAAACATTTTGAATGAAACATTTATTATGTTTATCAATTTCTTATCTACATCTTAATATTTTAATAGTCATTCACCTGCTCACTCTTTTTATAGGATAGAAAGTTTTGATGGGGAAATCGTGAAAGAGGGAAACTAAAAAGTAAAGTACATTGTTAGTGAATCAACCATTGTCTTTTGACATTGATTAATTAAAGTAAGATTAAAGATTTCCCACTGTGTATTGTACTGATTGTTAGCATGTATCATACAACATGAATTTAGTCATAACTCATTACCTTTCCTCAAATGACTCCCAGAGTACTAACTCTTGGAAAGGGAAGATGTACTTTTGTATATTCCAAGTCTGTATTCCAGTAAATTGCCCTGTATGTTAGGATTAAATATGTTGTTGTTAAGTGCCATTGTGTTGCTTCCAACTCATAGTGACCCTATGTAGGGTTTCTAAGGAGCTGCTGGTGAGTTTGCACTATCTAACTTGTGGTTCATAGTCCAGTCCTGATCCATAGTGCCACACTGGCAGTTCGGACTAAATATAGGAAGGAGGATTAAAACAAATACTCAACCTGGTCTTCTCTGTTGTATATCTTCAAGAGGCTGGAATTTTGAGACTCACATGATGCTCGACTCTGGTACCAACTTTTGCTCTCATTAAAAAATTGGTAACAGTTACGTCTGTAACATAGCCAATTTTTAGGACATGGGCCACAGTAACTTTCTACAAAGGGAGAGTATTTTATTAATCCTGCTTGTCTGAACATTATAGCAGATTTTGTCTAGACTATTTAAATGCTTTTCCTATTCCAACTCTAAAATTTCACACAATTAAATGATTATTTCATAGTCAATGGCACATCCCCACAGAGTTTTCTTGAGAGATATACATGTCAAAACGTATTCTCTACTTTTTACAAATAAGTATTCTCTTACAGTAAAAATGAGAGAGAACAGTGTGCATAACAAACTACTGTGACTTTTTGTTGTTAGTGTCATTGAGTTGGTTCTGAGTCACTATGAACCCTATAAAGTTTCCAAGGAGCAACCGATGGGCTTGAACTGCCAACTTTGTGATTCACAGTCCAATGCTTATATCACAGTACTATATCAGGGGTCCTGTGTAGATAAACACTGTTAGTTTTCTTGAATATATGTC